TGTGCCATTGCATGCTGTGCAGTGGCAGTCGGTTCCATGGAACTGAGGCACTCAGTGCCGGGGGTGGAGATATAACCAGTGTGAGGGAGGTCCCAGCACCATGTGCTTGAGTTAGAAAGTTCTGAGGCTGCTCCACGCAAGCGCGGATTAACCCATTAGTGTGAATTCAAAGATGACCACTCGAAGAACCAGAGTTACAGGTAGGTAACCTCTTTTTCTCCAGAATAGCAACTTTAATATCTTGTGAATAGTGACCTCGTAGACTGAAGTGATTTGAGACAGGTTTCTCTGTATTGTAATTTCTGATGTCCAACAGAGGCTTTTGTGGTCCCTGTAGTACAGCAGTCTCTGTGTAGCTACCTTCTCCACCCTAATGTTGTATGAGAAATCCTAGCAGTGAAAACAGTAGCTACTGTATGTGAACTTAATATACAAAATATTTTCTATAATTTAAAGTATTGTAAATTGCACTGGGGTCTGTTTCAGCCTGAAGATGTGATGAAAACTAATGAAATAAGTACATATTTCATTTAACATTGTACTATGGCAATAGTCCATTCCAGTTGGACCCCTATACTCATGGGAGATAGTTTCCAAGTCTCCTGGCGAATAGCAGTGAACCCATTCACTACTATCTGGGTGGGGGGGGGAGGACAAGAGAAGAATATGTGTGTGAGCGCTCCACTAATATGGTGTGAGCACTCCACTAATACCAGCTCCACTAAAATGGATGTCCTGCTTTATGGTTAAATCACATAGACTTCAGTGGGGCTTAAGTATGCTTAATTGTATAGTAGATTATGATTTCCTTTACAGTAGCTTGCATCTCTTCCTGATACAGTGGTGCCTCGCATAGCGAGGTTAATCCGTTCCAGATTAACCTTCGCTATGCGAAAACTTCGCTCAACGGAAACAAAAAACCCATTAAAACGCATTAAACTTGGTTTAATGTGTTCCAATGGGCCCTAAACTTACAGTTGAGCGAAGCTTCTCCATAGGGGCGGCCATTTTTGGGCCCTTGCAAAGCGAGGGCGTGGCGAGAAAAGTTGCGGTGGCCATTTTGGAACCGCTGATCAGCTGTTTTCCCCCGCTTCGTTGTGCGAAAATCGCTAAGCGAATCGCTTAGCGATCGTCGCACAGCGAAAAAACACCATAGGGGCCATCGCTGAGCGAACGCTCCAGCGATGGGCCAGACCCCCTCGCTATGCGAATTCATCGCTCAACGGAGCGATCGCTAAGCGAGGCACCACTGTATTATGGTTTTCTTGCATACCTCATTATTAAAATGATTTATTACTGATATTAGTGTGCAAAATTTCTAGATTAGGTTTACTGTAAAAACAAAGCTGTTTCTTCCCTCCTCCACTAAGGAAGGATCATAGTTGGTGGAATGTAGAAGATTTCAGGTTCAGTCCTTGACATTAAAAAAAAAAGATTCCTGACTTCTAAAACAAAGAAAGCTTTTGCTGGTCAGTGTTAATAAATTTGAACTAGTAGTGTCACTTGGTATAAGGCTGTTTGCTGTGTTCCCCACCAAAAAAAACAACAACAAAAAAACAAAAAACCCACCAACAACTTAAAAAAAGATCTACAATAACATTCTCCTTTTGGAAAGAATGAACTTGGGTGTTTACAGTTGTAATCCCATTGCTATCACTTAATATAACAATTTCTATAGTTTATGCATGGACTTATTGCACAAACCTCAGTCTCTTAAGGGTCATCAGAGTTCAATCAATGATTATTGTAGAACACAGTTATTGCCACAGGCTGAAACACTAAAGCATGATTCTAAATTCAAGTTCACATGTAACACAGAAACTAGATTAGCAAATCCATGAAGTGCTTTTGCTTCTTTATGTTGGCTATTCTTACTACTCTTCATGAAAATAAATCAGGGTGATGATGGAAAAATTAACAAAGGTTAATTTTATAGATTTTCCTGATAGCTTTTATATAGTAGAGAAGTGTATACATGTGGATGGGAGAAATTTGAAACGTATTAAAATAAAGACAGCAGTGAATTTTTGCACCAGAGCCATCTTCAGGAAACTAGTGTAAGAATTGCTGAAGGGTTGCTTGTGCGTAAGAGGACTAGTCTGCTCCTAGAACTAGTGTGCTCATTGCCCCCGTTAGATGCACAGTTGGCATGAATCTGAAGAAAATCCACAAATAGGGGATGCAGTTTGTATGCCCATACAGGGCATCCTAGGCACATGGAATTAAGTGCCAAACATTTTTCAGCCCTATATACCAGAGTCTTGAATAGAAAATCTGCGGGTTTCAAGGACTGTCTTATGACATCTCGTGATGAGGACTTTGTACTTGGTTCTGGAAGAATGGACACAGTGGATTTAGATGTTAATATTTGAAAACAAAGAGATTTTTTGAATGTATTGTCTAGACTCGTCTATGGCTGATTAAAGAACTATGACAGAGAAAACAAGCTTCTTTTACAAGTTCTGAATCTTAAAGTGTTCAAATATTTAAATTGTGTACTGATTTTATCTTCCTCAAAAAAGAGGTTTGACTCACAGGGTATTTCCTAGTTTCCATTGTGGATATGTTTAGAATAAATTGGAGATATTTGATCTGGAAAATTAACAAATCATGTTTGGCAGCTTCCATGTACTGTAGAACATCACTACATAAACAACTGGAATTCAGAATTGATTGGGGTTGGAGTATAATTTGCTGTACATACACAGGATGTATATTTCTCAATTCTTGTAGTGATTCATTTTGGTAGTGCAGTATTTGATTGCATAGTACATACAGCACACAGAGGTATATGACAATTTTTTTTCCTAATTAATGACAAAAGCAGTCAGTTGACAGCATTTTAGGATCGTCGTCATTGTTTAGTCGTGTCCAACTTTTCATGACCCCATGGACCAGAGCACGCCAGGCCCTCCTATCTTCCACTGCCTCCTGGAGTTGTGTCAAAATCATGTTGGTTGCTTCGATGACACTGTCTAACCATCTTGTTCTCTGTCGCCCCTTCTCTTCTTGCCTTCACACTTTCCTGACATCAAGGTCTTTTCCAAGGAGTCTTCTCATGAGATGGCCAAAGTATTGGAGCCTCAGTTTCAGGATCTGTCCTTCCAGTGAGCACTCAGGGTTGATTTCCTTTAGAATGGATAGATTTGTTCTCCGTGCAATCCAGGGGACTTTCAAGAGCCTCCTCCAGCACCACAATTCAAAAGCATCAATTCTTCGGCGATCAGCTTTCTTTATGGTCCAGCTATTACTTCCATACATCACTACAGGAAAAACCATAGCTTTGGCTATTCGGACTTTTGTTGGCAAGGTGATGTCTCTGCTTTTTAAGATGCTATCCAGGTTTGTCATCGCTTTCTTCCCAAGAAGCAGGCGTCTTTTAATTTCGTGGCTGCTGTCTCCATCTGCAGTGATCATGGACCCAAGAAAGTAAAATCTGTCACTGCCTCCATATCTTCCCCTTCTATTTGCCAGGACGTGATGGGGCCAGTGGCCATGATCTTAGTTTTTTTGATG